AACCCTAACCCTAAATTTTATTAAAAGAAATTATACATAGGTGTAAAAACACCATAGGTGCGTTTTATAATAATTCTATAGATTATTATTCAATTAATTACTTAGAAAATACACTAATCTTGATAATAGAAGTAAAAATAACTCATATTCTAAGTGATTTAGAGCCTGGTCAATCCCTGCTGGATTTTTATTAAACAAATTCTAGGGCAAAGGATAATTACTCTAAAAAACTAATACTTAAATAATCACATTTTTAATGATAGACAAAATAATTCTATAAAAATGTTATTATATCACCATTTTCCACTTTAAATTTTTTACACTTTCAACATACACATGGCTTATTATACCTTCAAAATAAAAGATTTGAAATATAATAAGTCTCACTTCTAATATACACTTTAGTCTTGAACATATAAGTTATTATTTCTATAATTCGTAAAATTATCTTGAAAAAAATGTTTTAGTATTCTATGATCTCTTTGATAGCATCAAAACATCTTAATGCGTCAGGAAGATAGAATTTTTCGAATACCAAGGGAAAAGGCGTACTAAAAAAAAGAGAATTTACAAATAAATATAAAAATTTGCTACGAAAAAATTCATATGATTGATAAATTGTAAACTCACTCCCATCCACAGACTCTATAAATTGGCGCCTCTAATCTCAAAAAACATCTTTCCATTATACTCGCTGTTACTTCAGCAGAAAATCCTGCCGTCTGAGGCGCTTCATGAGAAATTATTAACCTACCGGTTTTGTTCACAGATTCAGCGACCGTATCAATATCCCACGGCAAAATAGTCCTTAAATCAATCAATTCACATGATAAACCTGGTATATCCTTCTCGGCCAATTGTATAGCTTTTTCCAGAATATATATTTGTGATCCATATCCAACAACTGTGACATCCTTACCGGCTTTTATGATCTCTGCTTTGCTTAAGGGTAATTCATAGTCGTCAATTGGAACTTGTTCAACTAATTAACATTGATATTAGCTAATTACAAAAATTAACCCCGATTAAAAGCTAAACCGAAATTTACCAGCAGCGCGGTATAATATCTTTGGTTCAAAAAATATAACAGGGTTTCGATCTCTTATAGATGTTAGTAAAAGTCCCTTAGCTTGTATTGGACTTCGAGGCATGACAATCTACAAAAGTAGCATATATTTTTTAATGAAAAGAAAGCTCAAATAAAATAAATGAACGGTTATGAAATTAGTACACATCACTCTGTTTATAACGACATCCATAGTAAAATCTTTCTATATCGACATTTTTTCTCAAAATTTTAATATAAAATGTCGGTGTAACTCATTGTATCGACATTTAAACTTTTTTTACTAATAAAAAAAAAATTGTCGATATATACATAGTAACGTGTACTAGCTTTTTTTTTTTTTTACCTTTAATCCAGGAGTATGCGCAAAATATCCCTCTGGAGTCTGAGAATGGTAAAGCCCACCATGTCCCACTGCCGAACAAGGTGAACGAACTGTTAAACCGCGTCAATATAAAAGTAATATAAAAGTAACTAAATGTTCAAAAAATAGGATTTATTTTTTTTAAGTGTTATTTTCAGTTTACAATCCTCGTTTCAAAATCATCATTGCTTACTTTCCTATACTATTCTAATTTACTGATTATATTGATTTGCCCTAAATTACGTACGATCTTCTAATCGTCGGTTATCCTGTGCTAGTGTAGTGCGAGCTTTCATTGGTAAAAGTGTAATCCTAATTTTATTGGTTAACAATCTTAAAATTTGACCATCAAACTCTTGGACTGAACCAGTAAAAATTGATCAAATCGGTCAAGTCAAGATTAACCCCTGATCTGATCAGATGCCAACTCTGTAATGACATGCCCGACCAAATCAGCACTGAACTAACTTTTGACCACATGCGTACCTGTTGAGTAAATCTCTATGCAGGTATATTTCGGTAACAAACCTTACCGGATATAATCTTCCTACACATAAAACATTTTTTAGTAATTACTAATTTGAAAGGAACTTCTAAATTATCGGACGGCAATAATGAAATGAAGCCAAGCATCAGAATAGTTGACCGAAGTTTACAATATAAATTCCGAGATAAGGTTTATTATTGCGTTTTAAAACTTGAAGTTATAATAATATTTATAGCTTGGATCCGGATAAGCTTTTACTATCCGTTAATCAATTTACACACATCTGATATAACCCATTTATGAAAATGATTATTCAGCATCGGTTAATTTCGAAAGAGCTTGTCCGGATCTGTGAACTAATGCCGATTATATCTTTTTATGACTAAAAACAATAAAAAATCTATTCCATTAAGACACGGCAATTCGTAGATTATATGCAAGTTTCAGTTAAGGGAGGCAATGGCGGTGATGGTTGTGTAGCATTTTTGCGTGAAAAATTTAAGTCACGAGGTCCACCCTCAGGTGGCAATGGAGGTAGAGGTGGTCACATAATATTTATCGCATCGGCAAATCACTCATCGCTACATTCAGTTAAAAGGCAGCTCGTTGGTGGTAGAGGCGAAAATGGAAAAGGAAATATGAAAAATGGATCAGCTGGTAAAGATATAATAATACCAATACCTTTAGGAACGGTTGTTAAAGAAATTGAGCCACCATCATTGAAGAGAAAAACAATAATAAATGAGGATGAAATTAATGAAGAAGCATTGATTGAGAAACGGCGTAAAGCTCCATGGGTCCATTACCCAAAATACGATGAAAAAAATCCGCGCAGTACATTTTTTCTCGAAGCCGAGAGAATGATGGAGGAAGAATATCAGTTACGTCAATTGCAAAAAAAAAAAGATACAGAAAATAAACTCACGTTAGATCTATCTGTGCCAAACGTACAATATATTGTCGTGCATGGAGGTTCAGGCGGAAAGGGAAACCCCTATTTCCAAACAAATGCAAATCGATCACCGAAATTTGCGACACGAGGTTTAGAGGGACAACATAGATTCCTTGAACTTGAAATTAAAACAATAGCAGATGCAGGTCTTGTAGGTCTTCCAAATGCAGGAAAATCTACATTTCTAACAGCCATCTCTAATGCGCATCCCAAGATTGCCCCATACCCTTTTACGACTCTTAATCCATTTATTGGTACAGTGGATTATGCGGATAGATATCAATTAACAGTTGCAGACATACCTGGTATAATTCATGGTGCTCACAAAAACATTGGGCTTGGACATTCGTTTCTTCGACACATTGAAAGATCCAGAATTTTAGTATATGTTATTGATTTATCAGGTGTCACTCCGTGGGAAGATTGGAAAGTATTGCGAGATGAACTTGAATTATATAAAAAAAGATTGACAGAAAAGCCATCGTTGGTAGTAGCTAATAAAGCTGATATTACCGAGAGAGCTAAGCGAAATTTACCCATTATATTAAGCAAAGCAAAGGAATTCGAAGTAGTAAACGGACAAGTGCTTGAGATTGTTCCGATATCAGCAAAGTATAGAAAGAATATTGTTAAGGTGACAAGTTTGTTAAGGCAAATGGTAGAAAAAGTTAACAAAGCTAACGAAAAAGATATAAGCAATATAGAATGAGTAATAGAATAAGTAATACGGAATAATGGATAATAAATTATAATTTGCACATCCTTTATTATTTAGTTATGGTTTCTGATATGCATTTTTGCTATTACATACAACCAACTAAATGTGTGCAGAGAAGAAAAATCGATATCTTAAAAAATTATTTTAAGCTAAAGAAACGAAGTTTTAGGTAGGCACACGTGCTTTTTTTAAAAAAAAAAAGGAAAAAAAAAAAAGCAATACTAGTAATTACTCGTTAGATGCTAAGATTACAATCACGACCATGACCTTCCAAGAAAACTTTGTTATACAAGAAAGATTTTTTTAATACAAACTTTAGCATGCACGCTAATGTAAAAAAGGTCATTCCGTTGTACTCAATTGAGTGAATAAAATGAAATCGACTAGATAAAATGGATTGTTCTTTTCGATAATATACACAAACAAATTTCACTTGGAGTGAAAAGGTTCGCCAACTAAAAATCGAAGAAAGTTAACATATAAAGAACGGAAAAAATGATCAATAATGTACTAAATAAATACTTACTATTTTTACCGCGTAATTTGACGCCAAGCACTCGTTCCAGTTTCGCGAGAACCTGTTGGTTTGGGATAGTACGACTCATTTCATAATCATTAATCTTTATCAACCAAGAAAAAACGATAAAAATGAGTATACATTCCGTTAACGAAACCAAATTTGCTCAAAGGCAAAATTTGAAATAAGATAAAATGGAAGTAACCTACAATATTTGCTTTTTCATTAATTTTCTGGCCTAGATCTTTCTGTGTAAGACCCTTATTTTGTCTAGCTTGTTGAATGGCTTTTCCAACCGACAAACTAATTTTTTGCGGTGGCGCAACCTCATTATCCCGATCAAGCTTGGCAATCTTTTGATGATCGGTGTTAGTATGAGCTTTATTAGTTCCACCAGCAACTAAATAAAAGAATTAGTTAACATTTTAACATTGAATTATTTTAGCTGCGGTTTTTTCTGAACGGTTACCTTTACGTTCTATCCCAACGACTGCTCCCGCGCGACGAGCTGCATTAATCGCAGCGTCACCTTTTGTGACTTTAGCATGCTCAGCGCGCTTTCGAATTACAGTAACATTATCCCAATCAGCTTCGCTCATTTTTTTTTAAAAAAAAAAGAAACCAGGAGTTAGTTGCTACGCATATGACAAGAAGCTTATTTCACAGAATTTACGGAATTAGCTGATCACGTGTCATTGTCTAACTCATTGTGCAACATACAGTTGGCCCGACCGTTAGGTCGCCTTCGCAGAAAAAATTAGAAGAATCCGAATATTGGAATACGACTTACGTACGTACGTACGTTGTACGCATGTATGGTACAATTAAATCGTACGTATAGTCAATCCTTGCATATACGTATAGAGCGATAAATAACGCTTATTAAGTAAGGGATTTCTTTGTCGTCTAACAATTAAAAAGTTGCAATTATGGGTGAACGATAAAAAAAATTTTTATCACTACAACACTATAACACCGAAATTGTAAAATTGAGGTTATTTACGAATCATAAGATTACCTGCAGACGTCTGCAGCTTTCTCTTGACAATTGCATTTGTACAAAAGTTAAACTTGTAATTCTGGTCACGAGTTCCATTCTCGGCCAAGGTTTGGGGATTTGCGTCACCTGTTACACAATTATGTGGCACGGCTTGATCATCGCACTTATCATTGCCATCAAAGATATGTCAGCCATCTACTTATCAATTGGACGGGCAATACGCCATAAATCAAGGCAAGGACTTCCTCTGTGCTTGGGCTCGGTGTGTGTGATCAAATGTCTGATAAACGAAGACAAGGTGTCCCCCCGAAAACCAAGCAAGCTATCGCACAGAAAAAGAGACGTAGACGTACTGAACCAGTTGTAAAAACTCCTGGCACTATGCCTAGCACACCAACCAAGCATTCACCAATGTCGCCTGTACTTTCTCCAACGTCTCCTAATAAAATGTAAGTCTCAATCATTAGCCATTTCCTTCTTATGTGTCACCGGTTATAATTTATCCCTTTTGATTTTCTTAATTTCGCATTCAAAGTAACTTTTTGATAACTCTTTTGATTTACTCTTTTTCAGTTATCCACATCCGCTTTCTACAAACTCGCGTCAATCAGCTAACGAAGAGAATTCGTCTTCTTCTGCTACCTCTTCTGCTGAAGAAGAACCGGAAAAATTGTTGACTGAAGATGAGGAGGACTTGGACGATTATTGTAAAGGAGGTTATCATCCAGTAAAAATTGGTGATGTTTTTAACGAAAGTCGATATGTTGTTATACGAAAGTTAGGTTGGGGTCATTTTTCGACAGTCTGGCTTGCTAAAGATAATCGGTAAGGCAAAATTGTCAATTGTTTGTTGAACTTTTCAAATCTATTCGAGGTATTATTTTTAATTCAATTTATTCAAACATCTCTAACAATTTTATATTCACATGTATCGAATTTTATTTTGATTCAAGTCGTAATCGGCATGTTGCTCTTAAAGTAGTCAAATCAGCACCACACTACACAGAAACGGCTTTAGATGAGATTAAATTACTACAAAAAATCGTAGACGCAAATCCGGACGCTCCAGGTCGGAGGCATGTTGTTGAACTTTTGGACCATTTTCAACATCGAGGCCCAAATGGTGTCCACGTTTGTATGGTATTCGAAGTATTAGGAGAAAATTTATTAAGCTTAATAAAACGATATAATCATCGTGGTATTCCTGCTCACTTGGTAAAGCAAATAACTAAACAAGTACTTATGGGATTAGATTATATGCATAGGGAATGTGGGATAATCCATACTGATTTAAAGCCAGAAAATGTATTGGTTTGTATCGATAACGTAGAGGAGGTTGTTAAGAATGAACTTTTGAATGGTGTAAAACCACCGGCTACTTCTAAAAAAGACCTACATATTCGTATTACTGGAAGTCAGCCTCTGGCATCACCATCTCCTGGGTCCCCGTCTCAAAAATCTATAAATGCGTCTGAACAAGCCATATTATCAACACAAGGTATGTCTAAAAATCAGAAAAAAAAATTAAAACAAAAATTGAAGAAGAAAGCTGCAAAAGAAAATGAGACATCAACAAATGGTGTTGAAGAGGATAAAGATGTTGACGATGAGAAAGATGGTGTAAGCAGAGTTGAAGATAATAATGATGATGAAATTGATGATATCGTTTGTGATCCACGGGAATCAACAACGTAAGAATTTACCATTGTCTTTTTGTAAGACTTAAAGTCATCCGCTTAATTTTGATAAGATAAAATTTTTTGTCAT